GGTCGCAAGGACGACGGCTTGGCATTTCAGTTGCTACTGAAATGGAGCAAATTAGCCTACTCTAAGCTACGCAAGCATGCAAGTCTCATTCTCACTCTCTTCAGCATGATGCTTAACTCCGGTATGCCCGAATTGACTTCAGTTAACGATCTTAAGTACTTGCGTGACACTCTTGCTCTAGGCATGGGGGAAACTAAGGCTCTGGAATATTTTGAGGCTAAATTCCACGAGGCAAGAAAGGGTGCTTGGTTTACACAAGCTGATTGGCTCTGTCATGGTGTTAATGTCACTTAAGTTAAGCTTCTTAAGTGAACTACGCTGCAGAGGTTTAGTATCTATTTCTACTTAATACCTTCAATAAACTTGTTTCGATCCGTCCATTGCCCACCTTTCTATTTATCTATTAATTGTATCCCCATATATATATATATAATTGCTACTTATTCGGCCAAATATTCACTACCTCAACCATCTAATCTCTTTCGAAGTATTTCTTGTTCACTGACTTGTTAACATATCTGTATGCTACCTACCTCATTAGATATAGCTTTTTCTTTTGATGATCCTAAATACTACTTCTATTACTCTTTAAGCCATTCATAGTATTTATCTCCATGAGCGACTTCCAAGGAAGAGCCTATAGAGTGCTTTAGTTAAGCTTATTACAATCTCCATATCTTTAAAGTGGAGTATTTTAACCCATAGAAACAAAATCCCACTAGATGCTCCTTTCTTTTCTCAGTTTACACACCGTTACTTGTTTCGACATTGGATAAGTGATCTGATTGTCTAAATACTTATGTGCGGCTGTTGGTTTTCCTAATATATTTTGCCATCGATACCCTTATCTCTTTCAACCAATATCTTTGATGCAGACAATTGCTATCCATACTCATTAGTTGCCCCGCCAATTCTGTCAGATCGCTTGAGCGCCCACACCTGATTTTAATGTATTAGACCTGTGGCGGTAAAAGCATGCAAAACCCTTTTATCTTATTTGCTCTCTACAACCAGTAGCAGCACGATCATTGATAAGGTCTAAGCTGAGAGTAACTGTGATAAACCTTTCACTACTTCATTTTGTTATTAGTTGATTTTTCTATGAATTGTCGAAGATTTTTACTCGTCCCAAGTTTACATTGGGTCGATTCACTTTTTATATTGTCTATAAAAATGCAATCATTTTTCACATGTTTATTTCTGATTGGCATTTTCTACTGACAAAATAAAGATCTATCCCTGGCAAAGTCATAGCAAGTTCTTGCACTCTTCTATCCATTCATTGGTTATTATTGTGTGGTTATCTAAAGTTGTCTAGATTTTCAATACAACATGCCTTATTTTAAGTTACAGAATTAAGGAAATGATTCTTAATCGACTGCTGTGACGATGAGATCACTACTTTTTTTCTCATTTTACATCACTGTCAGTACTTTTTTACGTATAACTGAAAATTGCTGACTATCAAATAGTTTTTGAGTTCGA